TGACTCGAGAGCAGCAAGCGGGATTCCGGCCTGGTAGGGGTTGTGTTGATCAAATCTTCACACTGCGTCAGGTGCTACAACAACGCCATACGTATAAGCGACCCACGATTCTAGTATTCCTGGATTTCCGGGGCGCATTCGACTCGGTTGACCGGTCTGTTCTTCTTGAGACGCTTGCCCATCAAGGAATGCCCCGGAAGTTTGTAAACATAATACATTCTTTGTATCCTCAGACTTCCGGACGTGTGAGAGTGTACGGAGAGGTCTCCAAAAGCTTCCTTACGCAAAGTGGTGTCCGTCAGGGATGCCCACTCTCTCCATTCCTTTTTAACTTTGTGATCGATGAAATAATGAGACGAACGCTGGAGGGTCTCCAAAACCCTGGTGTTCAAGTAGCCTGTGAAGAAAACCTCATCGGTTTGGAATATGCAGACGACATCGTCCTCATGTTCGAAGAGGAGGAGAAGGCGCAAGTATCCTTGGATGAACTGACCACAGTCATTCCGTCCTTTGGTATGCAATTTGCGCCCACAAAGTGGGTCCTGCTCCTGGACATGCAATAACTTAACACGCCACTTACAATCCGGGGAGAGGCACTTGAAGTTGTGGAGCGTTTTACGCTTCTTGGAAGTTGTATTAGTTCTGATTGCAATGTGGCAGATGAGGTCAATGCGCGAATCCGCAAGGTTCGGGTCGCGTTTTCTAATCAGAGATACCTATGACGTCAAAGTGATGTATCCGGGCTGTTTTGCTGCATGACTTCGAGACGTGGCCTGTTCGAGCAGCGGAACTGAGATGTCTTCAGGTGTTCGACAATTGTTATCTCAGGACCATAGCTCGCGCGGGTTGTTGTCGGTGAATCCGTAACGGGGCAGTTAAAAAGCGCGTTTGCGGTTGTGCAATGGGTGCTTCCATTGAAGAATGTGTCCAGCACCAGAAGCTGCGTTGGTTGGGGTCTGTGTTGCGTATGTCCAACCATAGTTTGCTGAAGACAGTTCTGTTTTCGATGCCCAACTCAGAGTGGCGTAAACAGAGAGGTGGCCAACCCTTGACTTGGCAGAGGAGCATGAAGGAGATCACGAAACGCTTGGGTGCTGTCGGTACTACTCGCCTTCCAGGGTGAGGACCGCGTAATTCTCGCTGCGTCTGATTGGAGACCCTGCAAGATATGGCTACCAACCGATGTCAGTGGCGTTCTTGTTGTCAGTTTCTATCCGGATTGCCCAATGTGTGTCTGGAGGTGTAGGCAAGTCGGTATGATTGTGTTAAGCTAGCACTGAGACCCTTCCCCGTCCGCCTTTGCGCTTTTCTTTACAATAAGGCTTTCAAATAAGTCATGGTTTTACGGCAGTGAAGCATCGGTGTTCAACGCTGTTGCCATGGTGTCGATGATGATGATGATGATCTTTGAATGCAAGACACACGGATCATCCGGGTCGCCAATATGCATGCTGTTTCATAGTCACTTCCCTATCGGGTCAACACAGCTTCCTGGCTGGAATCTTGGTGGTTTTGGGTCGCAGGAGCACGACAAATAAGTTACTGTTGGAGTCTTACTACAACAACTTCTAGACCGCTGTCCAATGTGATATCTACATTTATTGGTAGCGTCTTGTTTAAAAATAAACCCATTGTCTCACTTCTCTCGGATGTATTGGCTCTACACTCCTAAATAGAGACATGCAAGTAAAACAGCAACCGACTGACGACTTCATTTCCGTCCACAAGCATAAGTGATGTTAAGCCATCTGTTCAACATCGGGGCGACGCTTGAGGATCAAATGCATTCGTATGTTTCCGAAGCAGTCTGAGGCCCCTCCTCCATTGTTCGCTGTCTTGTTTGTGGTCACATTTCCGCATGAACAGCGGTTGTATCGCTGAAAATGTTGACCCGGAGGTTTAGGGACTGTTCTTCGGGGAGGGGTTGTTTCGCGGATTAGCCGCAATAATTTCCTGATGTTTCTAGATTTCCACCCTCTTTCAACTCTCTGAATCCATAAGCCTCTCTGTCACGACACTTTTTGCCTGGCGGCACTGATGGCCTCTATTCATGACCAGCCGGAGTGTGCTTCAGAGTCTAAGGCACGATCAATGCGTTGTCGGGAATCCAGGGCATCGATAGAATTGCTTCCAGTGTTTCGCAAGCGGAATGTTCAACCTGCCATACGATTGGGGTAATTGCGTTTTATGTATTCAAAACCTGTCGCGGAATACAATTTCGGTAGATTTTTTTACCTTCAAACCCTTGATTGCTTTTATCCTTGGGGCAAGATGTGCGAATTTGCGCTGAATGCAAAGGAAGACCGCTGGGACCAGGTGCTTGATGCAAGCTCGGGGTGGGGTTCAAAGCGAGCGGCACGTAGTGACTGATCCACGCCGCCAATAACGGTGTGGTTGACTGGAGTTTTGGACTGGCTGATGTGTGGTGGACATGTAGCCAATGGTTTCAGTTGACTATAAACTTAGTACTGCGCATGGAAACGGCCCGCGGTCATCATATCGTTGCTAAGCTATTTTTGTCTGTTCATATCTAACCCACTCCAAGACAGTTACAAGGCTAAACCTCAGAATCGCTGAAGACATTCGCACATTGGCGTGTGTGGCAGCAATAGTAACGTGCCATTGCCCGTGGTAATGCACCAAAGATATAGTAGGTGTTTTCGGGTAGCAGGAATGAAGTTGCTCAGTATAGCTCAGCGAGTTACAGAGGCACACAAACTACCATACGAAGGTAAGGTCTAGTCATCCATGAAATATAGCCTTGAAGGAACGTAGCAACTCGCAGCGGGGATGATACGATTATTTACTCAAGAGCGAGGATGCAACTCTGATCTGCAATAGGTTACTGAAGTGTATGGTAGTGCATAAGTATTCGAATGGTTCCGTATCAGATTTTGGCATAATTGTTTCAACTGATGGTCACGAATAAACTGCGAGCCCATAGACACTAAAAGGTTGTCACCCGAACAGATAAACTCCCATATCCGTTCGGGCTGATAACCAGCCCCACCTGAGTTTCGAACTTATTCCAGGCGTCAGCAAGAAAACAGACTCTTTGTTCCTATAAAAATCGTTCAGCTGTAGCACCATTTAGGTGCCTGACTGCCATGCCACCCGAACGAAGCCCGAGGGCTGGGATACTGCCAGGTTGCCCAAGCCTAGACAGGGGAAATCGAGAGGCGGAGGTCGGGTTCGGATCACGGACTTTCCGGTCAGTAAATTCGCGCTCTTAACACTAACCCATCTCGCCCCGTTGTTCCTAGTCTGAATCATGAAAGATTTGCGGCACGACTGCGAAGAGCAGCTTAGACCGCGACTCCATACTGCAGTTTTTCCTGCAGAGACAGGCTTCATGATCAAAAGTGTCTGGGCCGCAGGACCACATATTAACCAACCACAGTCGGTCACACAGACGTTATGCGATGCTGCTTGCAAACACTTGCCGCCGTTGTGAACTTAAGGAAATAAGCGATTGGTTGATTCGAAGGTAACACCAAAGCAATTGGCACCGGCATCGGTCATTTACCGGGGTCATCCCATAATTTCTTTAAGTTTCGGTGTAATAGCGCACCTTAGTATTGTAAGGTTCGTAGGGTAGACCATTAGCGGACCGGTAAGATGGTAGTGGACAATCTGGCGGCATTGCATATACCGCGTGGTTAGTGTTAATATGCTAGGCAGGTGCTGATCACATAGCAGAACATATTTTGGTCATTCGCTTACGTTTAGTTGGTAGCCTGATGTGAGTACGTTGGGGCCTCCGAGGCTAATCTCCCTAACGAACGTTCCTCCATATGTTGCGCGAGTTCTTATCTATGAGCTGAAATAATCCAACCTCTTTCGAATCGTTCGCTTGTTTTTGTAGCACTTGAATGTATCGCGCCGCAAAATTTCTCGCATACGTGTGTTCAGGTGATCCCTCACGTCATTGCTGAAAACTGTTCGACTGACCATAACTTGTTTCTTTGACATTGATCAGGTAGACGCAGTCCCCGAGTTTCCCTTAACCTTATGTTTTAACTGAACTCAAATTGCACGAAGTTAGCGAAGTATGCTCATACAATGTATTGTGATACTGGAGTATCGTACAAGCCGAAATCTGAGATGGGTTGGTGCCACACGTTCAGTTGAAGAGGAACATCGTAAATGAGAGAATCAGTTGGGTCCCCAGTGAAAACCAAAATGGTATGCAGATGAGTGTATTTCGCTAATTCCCCATGTCATTTTTTCGGGCACCAGGTATTCCCGTCATCTCAAGTGAGGTTATGGCTTTCCAAAATTAGCTGCAGTCTATTCTTTTAGTAGCAATTTCGATGCCCTGATTTTGAACTTTATCCACAAATCGGCCTTTTAACAGTTCCCACTGGGTGCGAATTTGAACGATTTATGTCGAGTTGTCTAGCAGGTCGCGATGTTTTTGCATCAGAGTACGATCAAGCACATTAGCATTTTGTCTTCGGGAGTTTCGGTTAGGCCCGAAAACGAAGTTAGAATAGGACCTCATGGAAAGACCATTTTTCCAGCTCTGTAAGTTTCCTTGTCGGATGAATATACCAAACTTGTGCGAAAAAATTGCGTTACGGAAGACTGCCGAAGCTTCTCTTCAAATCAGACAGATCATCAACTGATCTGTGGGTTTGAAGCAGATCATAGTTCGCCTGGACTAGCTTTCTTTTGAACCTTTGCTTCGCTTTTCGTGTTACTTGCCTGTTTTTAGCTGGTCAATATGGATGAGTGTGAATTAGTACAGTACAGTACAGTTGCGCACAGTAGTTAGATCAGTCTGCCTCATTTTTGCGAAGACATGCAGCCGTGTTCTTTTAGGTAGGAGACCCGTTCGGTGGAGTATTCATCACAGCAATCGTTTGCATTTCATACAACAGGTCCACTGTATTTTGATTGGCGAGAACTCAGTCCACCCCGCTTTATCCAGCGAAGGCAATGAATTCAAAGTGACAGACGAAAATCTCAACCACTCGTCGTTTGGTTTTGTTTCCTTTTGGGAATTACTTCATGAAGACCGTGTTTATAGTTCGACTACTGGAAGAGTTCGCTTGGTCGGAGTCTCAGATTGTTTCTTAGGTGGAAGGTTATCGTAAATAATTGCTACTGTATTGTCAGCCCTTAGATTACCTGAGCAAAATACAGTATGGTAATGGCTCGTCAACTGCATTTGTTTGTTGCCAAGAATGTACATTTGCGAGCTGCTTTTAAACCAACTTAAACTCCGAAATGCTTCCATGCTAAAAAATTCCTTGATGGGCCTTGTTTAGTTGGTTCTTCGTCCGGGTGAAAATGCTTTCAGCGTTTTTGTCTCAAAGCCCCATCGCATGGGGGTTAAAACCATCTGAATTTGTGTTCGTTTTCGTTGGATACAGGAAAGTTTAGTCAGCTTTAGATTAGCGGACTGTATGTCTGAAATTATTTAATCCAAATATTGCGTGTATGGTCTACCCGACTAGTATGCTTCAGATTAGCACCTGTTCGTAATGGTTACTGACACGTGATGAATAGGGTTTTTCGTCACATTTATCGTCGGGTAGATGCTATTACTTGACATTACTCTAAGTTGTTTGTATTCGTCTGAAAGACGGTTTGACACGGGCATCAACAATGTCCTTAACCAGTGACTTCCAGCATGATTAAACGTCTTGTTAGCTGTGGTAGTGACTGTCTGTGAATGTTTTATTATGCTACCTTTTCTCTTTCAGCAAAATTTTCTGCTGAATTGGACTAACGATTAACGCTGGTTGTTGATGGGCGGGCGATTTGTACTTTTTTTGTGGTGAAAGCACCAATGGATCCGATCCCGAGACCAGTAATTTCATGTAAGAAATCAGCGTAGTCATTTTTCGTTATTTCTCACTTCTTCGGTTCCAAGAATGTAGGTTAGTGCTGGTAAATAGCTAAGTAGCCAAAGTTCATCTTTTGCGTTTCACACCACAACACTTCTTTGGGATTCGTTCTGGTAACATTCTTTAGTTTATGAACTCTTACAGAGCGCCTAAAGGTATTTTCTATTTCCATCAGGTAACCTGAATATGTATGAATTGGAGGTTCTCGTTTGAAGAGCAATTGGATGCAGGCAGTGTTATATGAATTCCCATGCTATCAGGCAAGGTAGGGATCTTGACGGTGCTGTGAGCTAGATATGCGGTATGTCAAATCGAGAGAGTAGTTGAAATCGAGGTGAATCGCTTTTGTAACTATGGCCAAGGACTGAATACCAGACGCGATATTCTTATCGTGCTGTCTAATGGATAATACGAATGGTTACTAACCGTAAAAGAACGGAGAGTACGTCTACCTCACGTGAAATTCCTGCCAGCTACTTTGGAGTATATTTAGTGTCCCTCCACTCTCAATTCGAACCACTTTGCTTCACAGCCCACACCATGTCTACTAATGAAAGCAATGAAAGCTAGACTCTCATCTCCACGAATTTCTAAATCTTTCAAGCAGTTCCCCCTCTTTGGTTGCTATTTTCCAAACCAGGCTATGGGCATGAAGGCTTGGTATCAGAACTCGAGCAACGTTGTTCACAAACAATAGCCTCGGAACCGGCTTTATGGCGCCATTCAAAACATGTAGCCCCTTATCCCGTTCGCATTGATGCCTACTTTACACGCTTCAATTTGAACCAACTTCAGTCTACCGTCAAGGTGCTTTCAAGTGGGCGCCCCACCAGACCTTTGGGGTCCTTGAATCCGATGCTGTATGTGTATGTTTTGCCCAATGTAAGTTCTTTCTAGCCACTTGGAACTATCTGAGGTAGATTTTCACTGTGCTCCATAGGAGGATCGTTTAATTTGCCAGCTCTTCAGTGTAACTCTACTCTCGAGCCACCCACGATTTGAAGCCAGTAACTCCCTATATCTGTAACACTTTTCGGTGATAGTTCTGCTGCTTCTTTGTAGTTAGAAAAATGTTTTTTCTTACACTTCAACTGACCCATGGTCACGGCATACGGGGTCTTGCTTATACACTCGACCATTGCAATCTTAACAACAATCCAGTCCATTTCACACTCCGCTGGATTATGCATATTGTATCCCAAACTCGACTTTCGCAGAACGGTCGGACAAAGAGCTTCAGCGTGCACTCTAAACTTAGGATCTATCACTTCTGAATAATATTGCGTTTGTCGACTTTGTTATTTTTGGATTGTGCATTTAAACTGCTATCGTCGGAAGACAGGCCTTCCGAAGATCTGAAAGGTACTCGTGACTTCATACCCCCCACAGTGTATTGAGACAAACGTGGTTATTCAGTGATAACGGACTTGTTGTCCTCTAACACGTAACGTGCACAGGAACATGATGTAGACCCATGTAAAAACGTCCTCAGTACTATCTAGCTTGACTTCACTACTAAAACGTATGTTATGGAAGTGCTGTGTGTAAAAGTAGTCTCCAATGCTGGTAGGCAGCTGCAATTTCTGCCCATAACTTTAGCAACCTTAGGTAATGCGCCACTAAAGTCCTCTGGCTTGTGTTCTAGGTTTTTAATTTCGTTTTTACTGCTATCCTGTCACGAAGAGATAGGGCCTTACCTCGGTGTGACGGTTTGTGCATTCCCATAACCTACTGAGCTATACTGAAAAGTGCACATGTGGCGGTCAATGAACCTGTCACACCAGCTTGGTCACTGGGTACAGGTCTGACTAACACAGCCTCCTGGTCCTCTAGGTTGATGTTTGGAACATGTGTGGCGACTTACTCCTTAAACATTTGGGCTGCCATGATGGTCTTAGGCCAACCAGCACTGTCTTGCGGTTAGGCTTTCAAGTGAAAGACTTTAGTTAAGGACCCTGAGCGTCCTCCCGTCTAGGTCTGGACTCCCTGGCAGTACCTCAGCACACATAAAACAGTGAATTACACATTTACGGATAGTCTCATGCCACATCAACCGTTACTTGGTGCCACCAGATGGGTCGCTTTACTTGCAGTACACAGCAAGATGGGTAAGTAAAGCAGACGATTGCTGAAGCCTTTATTTTTCTTCTTTTTCGTGTTCGTTCTTCCTCAATTCCCGCCGTTGCTAGTGACATTCTTGAAGACTGACAGATCCGTTCACCGCCCATTGTCGTTAGCCGAAATAGCTACAGTTGACTCGGTCGCCACGGCCATAGCCACTTCGAAATCATCGTTCAAACCCCATCAACTTCTCGCTGCTGTTTACGCAGCTCTGGTGATGTCCGTTGATAGTCGTCTCTGTGTGGTTCGTTTGAGAACGTCTGTAAGAGTATTCCGTAGACGCGCCGATAATCGCTGTCTGTTCATCGTCTCTGCTTGCACTCAAACGACGATAGATCTGATAAACTCAAACACAGATTTTACGGTGCATTGAGTGCTTTCTTACGGCGGGCCAAGGGCCCATGCGGTTGCCGTGGGCATGAATAGACAAGTGTGGAGAATTAACGCTGCTGACGCTTAAATGGGCGGTTGTTTAGGAGTGGAATCCTAATGCACTGACAACGATAAGCTTATTCTGCTGACCACAGTGCAGTGCTAATTTCCGAAACATCCGAAGCCGCTTGACAACATCGCGTCCCGCGTATGCGAGCCAGCGTTCGATGCGGATAGGCTAAACTGCCACCAGCTATAGATGACGTCGTTCAGTTACGGATAGTTGGTCATTTTGGAACACCAATTTGTTTTCGGATCACGCGCTTGTTCGTTGCTGCTTCTTGTTACACTTTTAAGGACTTCACAGAATACCTGATAATCGAAGAACTCTCGGACGCCGATTTGAAACAAGTCAAGCAGCACCACCTGGTGAAATCCGTTTTGGACAATGCCGCTTATGATTTTGGCTTTTACGGGAAGGTACTGTTCACAACCCTGCAAGATGCTTGGTGCTGGGGTTGTGGAATGATTCATCTAAATAGACTTTGGCTCTACATCTCGAAGCTATGCCACCTCTAGAGGAACCGCCAAACCTCAGGTAAAAAGACCACCTGTGCGACTACAGATAGTTATTGGATCCAGAATGCTGAAGCGTTGAAGAAGACGAGATACCGTTAATGTGTCAAAGTAGCTTTTTGACGGACGGGGAGCCTCTGTTGAGGGAAACAGTAACTGATAATAACGACTCACTTACATGTGAAAAGGATTTGATTAGCCCCTGGGATGAGCACTTTCAAATACAATTCCACTGATGAGCCGCAATCGGTTTACTGGATCGTCATCTTGATCATCATTATCAGCTATAATAACTTCGTACTTGTGTTACAGTGGTTGTAGCTGCCACAGTTTGGTTCACCGATAATTCGGGGAGGTGAGGTAAGTAGCTGCGTATTGTAGGAAGGTGGAGCTGATAAATTAGTGCGTACATACAGCACTGTCAGTGGACTGTCAAGTGGGTGAATTGGGAAGTGAGCTATGCGTTGAAGGCAATAGCTTGGATGCACGAACACCAATGAGGGCGCGACTGGGCCATGTCTGACAATGTCTCCAGTCATTGATGTGGCCCGTCTCGGGGTCCCCATCCAGGAAGACGGCAATTACCAGCGCAGCTGAGTTTGCTGGTAATGACTTTTATACTTCGCTGCCAAGTCATTACTTGACTGCCTCTGGCTCACTTCCACCCTTCAGGTGGTTGTGTGAAAAGTGCCTTCCGAAGAAGTCGGTCGACGTAGCCAAGCCAGCATAAC